AACTAACAATGAAAATTTGACCTAGTCAGGGAGGCTTTCCTTACTAGTTCCATGACTTTGGGTAAATTATTTAAACTCTGTGCATCAGTTTCCTCATCTGTTAAATGAGTATAATAATAATACCTAAGCTTTAGGGTTGTGATTTTTTTTTTATCGAGTTAATTTGTGTCATGTGCAGGATGGTGTCATACATATAGTAAACTCTAAGAGTTTGTTAAATAAATAGACAGTTCATATGAGATCTGAAGAATGCATAGGAAAGTTAATTGGATGGAGAGGAGAGGGTATGTTCCAAGCTAAGGGAGCTGTAAGACAGGAAATAGCCTGGTAGGCCTGAGAGGAAGATCGATGAGTCTAGAGTACTGCAAGAAGTACACACTTCAAAATGAAGCTAGAGAACTAGGCAGAGGCCAGGCTACACAGGGTCTTGCCTGCTGTGTTTAAGAGTTTGTCTGCTAAGCTTGGTGAGAAGTGATTAGGACTTTAATCCATGGAGTGGGGAGAGATTACTGATCAGACTGGCTTTTGGAAAAGACAGTGCTGGCTGCAGTATGGGGATCAGATTAGAGGGGGTCAAGGTGATTGTACATAGATCGTTTAGGAATTTACTAGAGTACACCAGGCTTTATCCCTGGAGATTTTCACAGGTTATTTCTAATCTTAATAACTACAAGAATACATTTGCAGGCTACTGTGTGTCTATTATGTTTTGGAATGATTTCAAAAATATTTTTGACGAGGAAAAGATGACTTTGTAGTATTTTCATTTTTTTTAATATGCAAAGTTTCATATTATGGTTTAAATAGCTTTTTGTGAGCAAGCCTGGGAATTGAGTTTAGAACTTAAAAAGATTAATCACTGGTATCTAGAATTCTTCTGTGCATTCCCTTTATGCTCCCATAGAATTTTGGATATTGTGTAGCAGTGCTGTTCAATACAAATATTTGTGCTGCACATGTGAGCCACATGTAGTTTAAAATTTTTTAGCTATATTAAAAAGGTAAAGACAAAACAGACTAATTTTATTTAACTCAATGTATCTAAAGTATTGTTTCAACATGGAATCAACATAAAATTATTAGCAGAATATCTGACATTCTTTTTTTGTATTAAGCCTTAGAAATCTGGTAGGTATTTTACCTTTGAGCACATCTCAGTTTGGACTAGTCATGTGTCAAGGCTAGTGACAGTGATCAGTGTACAGCTCTATAGGTTCCTAGGTTAATAAGAAGAATAGTTTTTTTTTTCCTAAGATTTTATTTATTCATTTGAGAGAGAGAGAGAGAGAGAGACAGAGCACAAGCAGGAGGACAGGCAGAAGCAGACTCCCCACTGAGCTGGGAGCCCGATGTGGGGCTCCATCCCAGGACCTGGAGATCATGACCTGAGCTGAGGGCAGATGCTTAACCATCTGAACCACCCAGGTGCCCCAAGAAGACTAGTTTTTTTAAAATTATCAAATTTATAGAAATAATAACCCATGCAGGCCTGAGTTTAATAGACTTGGAACAGAGTTGGTTGCTCTTGTTATAAAGGTGTGGAGGCTAGATGTCTTAGAGGTATTGGTGAAATTAAGTTTTTTTTTCCCCCCCTTGGGGGTGGGGGGAAGGAGAGACAGAGAGAGAGAGAGAGAGAGAGAGAGAGAGAGAGGTGTGCGTGGGGGAGGGGCAGAGACTTTAAAAAAATTTTTTTTAATGTTTTACTTATTTATTCATGAGAGTCAGAGAGAGAGAGAGAGAGAGAGAGAGAGAGAGGCAGAGGCAGAGGGAGAAGCAGGCTCCCCGCCTAGAAGGGAGCCCGATGCGCGACTCGATCCCAGGACCCCGGGACTATGACCCGAGCCGAAGGCAGATGCTCAACCATCTGAGCCACCCAGGCGCCCCAGAGACTTTTAAGTGGGCTCCATGCCCAGCTCAGGCTCCCAATCCTGAGATCATGACCTGAGCCGAGTCCCATGCTTAACCCAGTGGGCCACCCAGGCACCCCAAAATTAAGTTTTTTAAACATTTTGAAAGAATTAAGTTGCCAGTTATCACTAATGGTTTTTGAGGCACTTTTAGGGATAAATGGAGGAGATATCTTGGAACTTGCTGATTGAGGTCCCAGTACACAGACATTTGTAATTATTTTAGAGAGATTTCTTAGTGATATGTAGCCTCCAACTAATGTTCATTGATGTGTGTTATCACATGTCTTAAGCCCTTTTAGTCTGATCATGAGGTAAAGAAGTGAAGAATAGAGTGTTTGTGTTCTTCCCAAAATCTTAGCATACGTGCTTTGATACATGAAAATTAAAATGATTCTTGGAATTATTCATGCTTATTTATTTTTTAAAGATTTTATTTACTTATTTGACAGAGAAAGAGAGAGCACAAGCAGGGGGAGTGGCAGGCAGAGGGAGAGGGAGAAACAGGCTTGATTCTGGGCTTGATTCCAGGGACCCTGGGATCATGACCTGAGCCAAAGGTAGATGCTTGCTGACTGAGCCACCCAGGCACCCGTATTGATGCTTATTTATTTGTTTATTTATTTTAAAAGATTTTATTTATTTATTTGAGAGAGAGAGAATGAGAGATAGAGAGCACGAGAGGGAGGAGGGTCAGAGGGAGATGCAGATGCCCTGCTGAGCAGGGAGCCTGCTGTGGGACTTGATCCTGGGACTCCAGGATCATGACCTGAGCCGAAGGCAGTTGCTTAACCAACTGAGCCACCCAGGCGCCCCGATGCTTATTTTTTTAAAAGACTTTTGGGTATTTACTCAAGAGCCACAATATTTAATTTGATTGCCTCTATGGACACTACAGAGTTCTTAGCATGAACAGTTATTTTTGTATTCTATTTTATATTTATCTTAAATATAAAACTTTTGCTTTAATTAGTTCATTCTAACAAATCTTAGTAAGTTATAATGGGCTGTCTTTGGTAGAGGTAACCATAAAACATTAATGATGCAATAATGCAAAGCAGTTAAGTTTTTCTTTTTAATGTATGTGCTAGTTTTTGGTTATTCTCCCAAGACCAGATTAATACTGTTGTAGAGAGCATTTGTTTATTGAACATTGAGTACATTTCTCTTTTTTACCTTTATGACTGAATAACAATTTGATGTTTTGATGTTTACTATTCATATATTATGTACCAGTCACTGTGCCAGATGCTGAGAATAGAGACATGCTCTCAAGGAGTGTTCAAAACTTTACCTTCTCTAAAGTAGTCTTTAAGTTAGGAAATTTGTAATAATAAATCTGTTAAAAATAGTTTGTTTTTTAAAGATTTTATTTATTTATTTGGCAGAGAGAGACACAGCGAGAGAAGGAACACAAGCAGGGGGAGTGGGAGAGAGAGAAGCAGGCTTCCCGCTGAGCAGGGAGCCCGATGTGGGGCTCGATCCTGGGACCCTGGGATCATGACCTGAGCCAAAGGCAGACGCTTAACAACTGAGCCACCCAGGTGCCCCTAAAAATAGTTTTTGGCAATATTTTATTTTTCTAAAAAGAAGTGTAAAATCTTTATAAGTAACTTTTATTATAGCTCTTTGAGGTTATTTTTCCCTGTGCAGAAGGACAGTTTACTGAGAATAGGAGATTGTCTTAAAAAAAGTCTTCAGTATAGAATTCAGCACTAGAATTGGAGTATGCTTAGTGGCATTACCTTTTATTTTCATATGTACTTATTATGACATATTAAATTCTTGTTTTATAAGGCTTACTGGTTTGACTGCTTTTATGACTGTATTTTTCAAGTCCCACACATGAACCTTTCAAGTCTTTTGCTGATATCTTGAACTCTCATTTAGGTGTTAGGCAAGTAAGATGTCCTTAAAAAAAAAATCAAACTATTTAGGAGTAATATTGTTTTTAATGCATAGAGGGTAAGAACAATGAAAACAAGCATTTTTTGGTATTATCTACTTTGGAAAAAAATGAAAATATTTATTATCATATTTTCCATGGCTGATATTTGACAATGGACTCTGAAGATTTAAATTTTAAAATAATGAAAGGAGAATGAAATTGAGATTAAAAAAATTTTAAATTACAGCATTTTAAAATTAGTACTTGCATCTGATAAAATACTCAAAAGGGACAAAAGAGTCTCCCTTTTGGACTTGGTACTTCAGCCATTTTGTTCCTTTCTCTTGTAGGCAACGTTCTTGGAAATCCCTCTAGAGATAGTCTATATGTACACAAGCAGTTATACACTGTATTTCTTCCTCTCCTCTGGCCCCCCCCACTTTTTTTGGGTAAGAAACCCCCCCATATATTGTAGTATACCTTAAACACTTCTTTGTACGTTAAAAAAAAAAGATTTATTATTGGAGCGAGAGGGTGTGTGCACATGCTCCAGGTCATGCAAGTAGTGGGAGCGGCACGGAGAGGGAGAGAGAATCCCAAGCCGACTCCCTGCTGTGCGTGAAGCCCAATGCCTGCTCAATCTCACGATCCATGAGATCATGACCTGAGCCAAAATCATGAGTTGGATGCTTAACCGACTGAGCCACCCAGGTCCCCCACTTCTTTGTACTTTTAAATTTTTTTTAATTTTTATTTTTTTTAAAGATTTTATTTTTTGAGAGAGAGTGAGTGAGCAGGAGCAGGGGGAGGGGCAGAGGGAGTGGGAGAGGCAGACTCCCCGCTGAGCAGGGAGTGTGATGCAGGGCTTGATCCCTGGATCCTGGGATCATGACCTGAGCTGAAGGCAGATGTTTAACCAACTGAGCCACCCAGGTGCCTCTTCTTTGTACTTTTTTAACTTAACCATTGATCTTGCAGATTGTTTTATGCCACTACCTGAAGAAATTCATTCCTTTTTGTAGGTGTATAGTGAGAATAGAATTATTAAATCATCCCAAAAGACATAGAGTTAGCTATTGTTATAGTGAATGACCTCAGTATTTTTTTAAATGTAGAAATCAGAAGGTTCTTTTTGTCCTATTAAACTAGGTGATTTTTATTGGATGTTGGGAAAATGTTGAAACCATTTTTTCTTCTTTTTTCAGAGAGTCAGACAGCTAAATGGAGTCTGAGCAGCTGTTCCATAGAGGATACTATAGAAACAGCTACAACAGTATAACAAGTGCAAGTAGTGATGAGGAGCTTTTAGATGGAGCAGGTGTTATTATGGACTTTCAGACTTCTGAAGATGACAATTTGTTAGATGGTGACACAGCAGTTGGTAAGTTTGGCATTACAACTTTTAATATTTGTGGTAATTAATGTCTACTAATAAATTATACATTGTTGAGGTTGAGTGTTTGGGTAATTTTATTTTTTAATTGAGTTGATTCATATAAACAACCGTTTTAAGGTGTTCAGTGGCATTTAGCACATTCACAATGTTGTGCAACTACCATTTTTATCTCGTTCCAAAACATTTTCATTACCCCAGAAGAAAACTTTGTATGTGGGTAAGCTTTAAAATTTAAATATAACATAGTATGGAGATGTATACAACTATAATTGGGATCCTCAGAGACATAGAACTGAATAGTATATACATAGATATCCAGAAAGAGATTTATTATGAAGGATTGCCTCACATGATTGTGGAGGCTGAGTCCTACAATCTGTCATCTGCAAATTGGAAGCTCAGGAAAGCTGGTGGTATAGTTCTAGTCCAAACCCAGAGGCCTGAGAACCGGGGCAGCCAGGGGTGTAAGTCTCAAGGCCACAGATCTAGAAGTGCTAATGTCTGAAGGCAGAAGAAGATAGATGTTCCGTGTCCAGCAAAGAGCAGTTTCACCTTTCCTCTGCCTTCTTTTCTATTTAGATCCTCAGCTGATTGGATGATGCCCACTTGCCATCAGTTAGGTCACCTTTTTTAAGTATACTGAGTCAAATGCTAATCTCTTCTGGAAAGACCCTCACAGATACACCTATAAATAATGTTTTATCAGCCATCTGGGTATCCCTTTGATCAGTGAAGTTGACATGTAAAATTAGCCATCATAACAATCAGCAGATCATATGTGTAGAAATTGTACAAAGTGAAAACGCATATAATTATCCCTCAATTGAAAAATAAAACATTACCTCTTCCTTCAGAATTCTCCCTTGTTCCCCCTTCCAGTTTCAAAGGTAACTATTATTTTGACTTCTATCGATTAGTTTACAGGTATTTAAACTTCATATAAATAGAATTATACTATATATACTCTTGTGTCTTGTGTCATTTATGTTTTGAGATTCATCTATGTTGCTCAGTATAGCAGTAATTATTTTCATTGCCATATAGTCTCATTGTGTAAATATGCTGCAGTTTTTCTATTCTATTCATCATATATTGTTGGTGGATGTTTAGTGTTTTTTTCTTTCTTTCAGATTTTGGCTATCACTAATAATGCTTATGAATTTTCATGTACCTGTATTTTAGTGCACGTTGTATATACAATTCTGTAGGGTTTATACCTTGGAATGGAATTCTTAGTTGATAGGGTATGTGGATCTCAGTAGTACCAGCGCCTGTCAAAGATAGTTTCAGAGTAGTTATAGCATGTTTATTATACCAGCAGTGTGTGAGAGTTCTAGTTCCTCCACATCTTCACCAATACTTGATATTTTCAGTTTTAAAAATTTTGGCTATTCTAGCGTGGGTGCAGTATTCTCACATTTTGGTTTTATTTTACATTTGTCTGAAGGCTTATGAGTTTAAATGCCTTTTTGCATGTTTATTGGCTTTTTACATTGCCTCTTTTGAATTGCCTGTTCAGGCTTTTTGCCTATTTTATGAGGTCTTTATGCATTCTGATTAAGAGTCGTTTATCAGATATATGTATTGCAAATGTCTTTTCTTGCTCTGGTATGCCTTTTTACTTCTTTTTTTTTTTTTTAAAGATTTTATTTATTTATTTGACAGAGAGAGACACAGCGAGAGAGGGAACACAAGCAGAGGGAGTGGGAGAGGGAGAAGCAGGCTTGCCTGCGGAGCAGGGAGCCCGATGCGGGGCTCGATCCCAGGACTCTGGGATCATGACCTGAGCCGAAGGCAGACGCTTAACGACTGAGCCACCCAGGCGCCCCGCCTTTTTACTTCTTAATGGAATCTTTTGGTGAAGATGCCATCAATTCTAATGAAATCCAGTTAATCTTTTCCTTTAATTTAAATTTTTTATTGTTATGTTAATCACCATACATTACATCATTAGTTTTTGATGTAGTGTTTCATGATTCATTGTTTATGCATAACACCCAGTGCTCCATGCAGAACGTGCCCTCTTTAATACCCATTACCAGGCTAACCCATCCCCCTACCCCCCTCCCCTCTAGAACCCTCAGTTTGTTTTTCAGAGTCCATC